GCTGGGATTACAGGCGTGAGTCACCTTGCCTGGCCAAATTTTTTTTTGTTTTGTTTTTTTCAGACGGAGTTTCGCTCTTGTTACCCAGGCTGGAGTGCAACGGCGCGATTTCGGCTCACCGCAACCTCCGCCTCCTGGGTTCAGGCAATTCTCCTGCCTCAGCCTCCTGAGTAGCTGGGATTACAGGCACACGCCACCATGCCCAGCTAATTTTTTGTAGTTTTAGTAGAGACGGGGTTTCACCATGTTGACCAGGATGGTCTCGATCTCTTGACCTCGTGATCCACCCGCCTCGGCCTCCCAAAGTGCTGGGATTACAGGCTTGAGCCACCGCGCCTGGCCCAAATTTTTTTTATTTTAATTTTATTGTAGTACTGAAATAGATTCAGACAGATAAAAGAAAATTTAACAAAAAATAAAAAAAGGCTGAGGTGGGTGGATTGCTTGAGCCTAAGAGGTCAAGACCCCTGGGCAAAATAGCAAGATCCCCTCTCTATTTTAAAAATAAAATTAAGCCGGGCCCGGTGGCTCACGCCTGTAATCCCAGCACTTTGGGAGGCCGAGGCAGGTGGATCACAAGGTCAATAGATCAAGACCATCCTGGTCTGGCCGGGCGCGGTGGCTCACGCCTGTAATCCCAGCACTTTGGGAGGCCGAGGCGGGTGGATCACGAGGTCAAGAGATCGAGACCATCCTGGTCAACATGGTGAAACCCCGTCTCTACTAAAAAAAATACAAAAAATTAGCTGGGCATGGTGGCGCGTGCCTGTAATCCCAGCTACTAAGGAGGCTGAGGCAGGAGAATTGCCTGAACCCAGGAGGTGGAGGTTGTGGTGAGCCGAGATCGCGCCATTGCACTCCAGCCTGGGTAACAAGAGCAAAACTCCATCTCAAAAAATAAATAAATAAAAATTAAAATTAAAATAAATAAACAGTAATTTGCTGATATGCAGATGAAGTTTGGATTTACTTCTTAGTGTAATGAGAATCCACTAGAACAGGAGAATAAGTAAAAATCATTCTGATTGCTGTGTGAAAAACAGAGTAAGAACAGAACAAGGAGACCAGTTAGGAAGGTACCAGCCAGGAAGAAGCAGGGTGGTGGTAATAAAAATAAAATGAAATAAACATATTTGGGATATATTTTGGAGATAAAATTCAGAGTTTGCTCAAGGACTGGCTGTGTGTAGTGTGAGGGAGGATGAGACAAACAGATGAATTAAACATGACCACTAGATTTTACACACAAGCAGGATGGCAGAGGGGTGCTATTATAACATGAAAACTACAAGGGTTAGCTGGGTGTGGTGGTGTGCACCTGTAATCTTAACTACTCAAGAGACTACAGGAGAGTCTGCTTGAACCCAGGAGGCGGAAGTCACAGCAAGCTGAGATCACACCACTGCACTCCAGAGTAAGACTCTGTGTGGGGGTGGTGGTGGTAGGGGAAGAAAACTGCTGGCCAGGAACAGTGGCTCACGCCTGTAATCCCAGCACTTTGGGAGGCCGAGGCAGGCAGATCACAAGGTCAGGAGTTCAAGACCAGCCTTACCAATGTGGTAAAACCCCGCATCTCTACTAAAAATACAAAAATTAGCTGGGCATGGTGGCGAGTGCCTGTAATCCTAGCCACTCAGGAGGCTGAGGCAGGAGAATCACTTGAACCATGGAGGTGGAGGTGGCAGTCAGCCAAGATCATGCCACTGTACTCCGGCCTGTGCAACACAGTAAGACTCCGTCTCAAAAAAAAAAAAAAAGGCCAGGTGTGGTGGTTCACACCTGTAAGCCCAGCACTTTGGGATGCCGAGGCAGGCGGATCACCAGGTCAAGAGATCGAGAACATCCTGGCCAAAATGGTGAAACCCCATCTCTACTAAAAATACAAAAAATTAGCTGGGCATGGTGGTGTATGCCTGTACTCCCAGCTACTTGGGAGGCTGAGGCAGGAGGATCCCTTAAATCCAGAAGGTGGAGGTTGCAGTGAGCTGAGATTGCACCACTGCACTCCAGCCTGGCAACAGAGCAAGACTCCATCTCAAAAAACAAAAAACAACAACAAGAAAAAAAAACGGCTAGGGAAGGAATAGGAACAGAAATTCAGAGCTCCATGTGAACCTGTTACACTGAAAGATGCCTTGGCCGGGAGCAGTGGCTCACATCTGTAATCCCAGCACTTTGGGAGGCCGAGGTGGGCAGATCACCTGAGGTCAGGAGTTCAAGACCAGCCTGACCAACATGGAGAAACCCTATCTCTACCAAAAATACAAAATTAGCTAGGCATGGTGGTACATACCTGTAATCCCAACTACTTGGGAGGCTAAGGCAGGAGAATCGCTTAAATGCAGGAGGTGGAGGTTGGTGAGCCAAGACTGCACCACTGTACTCCAGCCTGGGCAACAAGAGTAAAACTTCCTCTCAAAAAAAAAAGAAAGAAAGAAAGAACCCTAAAAACAGATGAAATGAAGATATTATATAGGCAGACAGAAGTCTGAAGTTCAGGACTGGAAATAAAAATCTGAGAGTCAACAGCAATTGACAACAATTTACTTATTTTTAGTTTCTCTACTAAAAACAATAAATAAATAAACCATAGGCCAACATGGGATCATTCAGAAAGAATACATACAGGTAGAGAAAGGAATAGGGACAGGCTGGAAGCCCTGGGGCATTAGAATGTTTTCAACTCAAGGAGAAGGAAAAGTCAGAGAGAGTAAAGAGGAGGAAAGCCCTAAAACTCTAGTATTATAGAAGGTTCCTTTATATAATGTGATTCTCTAGTACACCACCACAACCACCCCCTGCCCACCACACAGTCATCCAAATTCTATAAATAAAACAATGGAGGGCCCTAAAACTGGGTGACATCCCCATAGCCCCAGCTGTTTTTAACCAGCTAGAGACCTAAAACCAAGAGGTGACTTATGACTCTCAGCCTTTTCACAGTGGCTAGCAGTAGTTCTGTTAAGAGTTTTAACAGTCTAAGCTAGACAACCGGGAAAATATCAAGGAAGAACATAATTTAGACTACAGTGTTCATTTTTCACTTTTTTCCATAGAGTTTGCTGACATTCACAAAGCAAGCTGAAGCAAAAGCCTTTATGGATGAGTCTCTAAGAACACCAAGAAAGATAGGCAAGAGATGCAAAACGACAATAAATCAAAACCCAACTCGATTTTCAACTTTTTAAAAACACTCTGAAGGTGGTGGACTCGGGGTGTGAATCGGGGGTGTAAATTAAATTGTTGTTTCTTACGTCATTTTGGCTTTAAAAAATACAATTCAAGTTTCAACCTTTTAGATTTTTAATTTTGGTCGGTCGCAGTGGCTCATGCCTGTAATCCTGGCACTTCGGGAGGCCGAGTCAGGTGGATCCTTTGAGCCCAAGGGTCCAAGAGCAGCCTGGCCAACATTGCGAAACCCTGTCTCTACAAAAAGTACAAAAATTAGCCAGGCATGGTGGCGCACGCCTGTAATCCTGGCTGCTCGGGAGGCTGAAGCAGGGTGGCTTGAACCCAGGAGGCGGAGGTTGCAGTGAGACGAGATGTCGCCACTGTACTCCACCCTGGGCGACAGTGAGGCCCTGTCTCAAAATACAAACAACAAAAAATAAAAAAATTTTAAAAAGCAGCAGCAAGACTCTGTCTCAAAAAGATTTTTTCTTTTTTTTGAGACAGGGTATCGCTCTGTTGCCCAGGCTGGATTCTCCTGTCTCAGCCTCCCGAGCAGCAGGGAATACAGGCGCCCGCCACCACACCGGGCTAATTTTGGTGTTTTGGGTAGAGACAGGGTTTCGCCATGTTGCTCAAGCTGGTGTCGAACTCCTGGGCTCAAGTGATGCGTCCGCCTCGGCTTCCCAAAGTGCTGGGATTACAGGCGCGAGCCAACGCGCCCGGCCAGAAAAAAAGAGTTTACTTTCTTCCATACCTGCATTCTGAAAGTGGGTTAAGATCCTTATCTGACCACCCTTTCCTGTGCTACATTATTATGACTTAAATAGTTCTGCTTTTACCATAAAATCTTACAATGTAGCATAAAAATCCCCAAATGATTAATGAACTGCTGAAACCTCTGACTCGTCGGAGATAATTTTATTACGAATCATAGCTCTAAACATCCATTCAGTGCCTCAAAATAAGTACTCATTTAATTATCATGACTTCACCAGACAGTCACACTGCCCACAATGATGTTTACAAAAGCACTTGTCACTCCCTTTGGATGTAGCAATGCAGAAAAAGAGTCTGTTTCCATACTCTACATGTGTTTATACTCTGTAACAAGTGACAGAGTTCAAGTGTCACTTGAGATGAAACAGCAAAGCACTTCAAGTTTATGTCCCACCATCTTTCATCCTAAGCGAATCCCGAATTCGCTTGCTTTCATTTCAGCAGTAATTCCCACTCAGTACCTGAGACAGGCTTCCAATTCAGCTCCTGCAGGAAAAGAGACTCCAGGATTCTAGTAAGAGACTATAAGATTCTATTTTGGCCACTGCGAGGTAACAGGCTCAATATTAAGCAACTCCAGTATCGGTTATTGCAACACCAGAGCAGTTCGGAAATGGATGTGCCCCCAAACGCACGCCTGCAGCCAGTAATTAGCAATAGCTAACACGAGATGCTGCAGCAGGGATATCATTTACTTCGCACTTGTTCAGTTACGCCTCACCTCACAACAACCCTATGGTGTATGTATTATTATTTCCATTTAACACACCACGATATTTTGGCCCAGGGCCCTATGACTGGTCAGCAGCGGCGCTGGAATTCGAAAACATGTCCGTAACTTAGCCCAAGGTCCCCGCCCCTGGAATACTCTTCTGCGCAAAAAAGCACCTGAGGGTCGGGAAGCTCCGGACGTATCCCCACAGACGCGGGGCGCGAGGACGCCGTTTCTCCACAGAGGCGTCCCTGAGGAACGGGAACCAAAGCGTCAGCGGCCCGGGACGCCCGGCAGCGTCTCTGCCGCCCGGGGGCCGGGGGCCGCGGGCTTCACTCACCTTGGAGAGCCCCGGGCGGGCCGCAACTAAGCCAGGCGCCCCCACCGACCGGCAGGCGGGTATCCTCCAAGTTGGCAGGAAGCGCGGTGCTACCAGGCTAGCAGCAGGTAGCTTCAGGCTAGAGCGCACCGCCGGCCCGCCCGGGGGCACCGCAGCCCGCGCCGCGACCCCGCCGCCCCTCAGCCGCGCCGCATCCGGGTCCCGTGCGGCCGCACTCACCTGCCCGTCGCTCCGCCGCCGCCGCCGCCTGCTACTATTCCTAGTCCGTGGTCAGCAACCCAGTCCGCCGCAACCGCTCCGCTTCGGCGCCCCCATCCCTGCCTCTCTAGATCACCTCCCGCCTGCCCCGTGCAGCACTACACTCGCCCGCCGCCCACTGCCATGGCCCGCTCCGCCGCAGCCTCCGCACAGGCCGACGGAGCACGCGCGCGCCGCCGCCGTACCCGCGCCCGTGTGCGCGCGCGCTCGCTTTCCAGGCGGGCATCCCAGCAGCCTCCGCCCCGCCCTGCGCCGCCCTCGGGCCAATCCCGGGCCCCGCGGTGGCGGCGGCGGCTGCTGCTGGGCTGGCAGGGCGTGGGGAGAGGCCGCACTGCCTATTCCTCTCCGCTGCCAGCCCGGCTGCTACTCTGTTGCGTGGCCTTTCCTACCTCTTTACGTCTCCCTGAAGACTGCGGGGTAGGGAATCCCCGGCAAGCCGCCTTCAACAGAGACCCATCACCTGCGCCGGCCTCCATAACCTCCTCCCGAGAGACTCCTCTGTTCCTAGGTTCCTTACTGGCCTTTTCTTCCCAGCCCTTCTCCCTCAGTTCTGTTCTGCGACGTGGACTGACTCCTGAATTATTGGGCGCAACACATTTTTTTCCCCGCTATCCGTCCCTGTCTTTCACTCCCTTTGTGGGGATAAGGCGCTAGCTCGGCTTCCTCACAGCTAGCCCTTCAGTCCTACACTGTGAATGGTTGTTTCAAGGGAAAAGTCCAGCCTTTCAAACCCATGATTCTTGTTTTTTGTTCAATTTTGCAATAACAACATCTAACATTTGTCTGCAGAGCCTTAAACTTTACCCCTCTTTGCCTACCTTGTCTCCTGATACCTTTAACCTCAACCACGAATATCAGTCCTCTTTCTAGTGGGACACTTAAATTTTACTTACTGAAAACCAACATTTTAATTCATTCCAAAGTTACTATATTTTAACGTAATGCTTCCATGTTAGCCTGGACAAATAGTTGATTACTCAGGGATAAAATCTAGAAGTACAACCTAATAAAAAGCAAACGTAGGCTGGGCGCGGTGGCTCACACCTGTAATCCCAGAATTTTGGGAGGCCGAGGCAGGATCACCTGAGGTTGGGAGTTCGAGACCAGCCTAACCAACTTGAAAAAACCCGGTCTCTAAAACAAACAAAAGCAAACGTGACAAATCAATTCAGTGACAAAGCAACAGTTTATTTGAAAAATGATCCTAGTTTTGACTTTTCATTTAAATTAAAGCAAGAACCATTCCATATTCAAAAATAAATTCCAGAATAGGCTGGGAGTGGCTCATGCCCATAATCCCAACACTCTGGGAGGCCGAGGTGGGCAGATCACTTGAGACCAGGAGTTCAAACTCAGTCTGGGCAATATAGCGAGACTCTTGACAAAACTGACCAGAGCGTGGTGATATGCACCTGTGGTCCCAGCTACTCGGGAGGCTGAGGTGGGAGAATCGCTTGAGCCGGGGAAGTCGAGGCTGGTGTGAGTCGAGATAGGTCCACTGCACTCCAGCCTGCGAGTTAGAGCAAGACCTGTCTTGAAAAGAAAAAAAATTCCAGAAGAATTAAAGGTATAAAAATTTACAAAACAAAAACTTCCAGGAAAGTTCTATTTTTCTTATTTTTTTTAATTTACTGAATTTCATCTGGCCTCCATGCTTAGAAAGTTTTTAAAGAGTAATAACGTAGGCCAGGCATGGTGGCTCACGCCTATAATCCCAGCACTTTGGGAGGCCAAGTGGGGCATATCACCTGAGATCAGGAGTTCGAGACCAGCCTGACCAACATGGAGAAATCCCATCTCTACTAAAAATACAAAATTAGCCAGACGTGGTGGCGCGTGCCTGGTAATTGCAGCCGCTGGGGAGGCTAAGGCAGCAGAATCACTTGAACCCAGGAGGCAGAGGTTTCAGTGAGCCAAGATCGTGCCACTGCACTCCTGCCTGGGCAGCAAGAGCAAAACTTCCTCTGGAGTGCAGTGGTGCAGTCTCTGCTCACAGCCACCTCCTCCTCCTGGGTTCAAGTGATTCTCCTGCTTCAGGCTCCAGAGTAGCTGAGCTACCAAAAAAAATACAAAAAATTACCCAGGCATGGTGGCACGAATCTATAGTCCCAGCTGCTTGGGAGGCTGAGCCATGAGAATTGATTGAACCCAGGAGCAGTGGCTGCAGTGAGTTGAGATCCTGCCAATGCACTCCAGCTTGGGCAACAGAGTGAGACTCTGTCTCAAAAAACAAAAGCCAGGCATGGTGGATCATGCCTGTAATCCCAGCACTTTGGGAGGTCGAGGTGTGTGGATCACCTGAGGTCAAGAGTTTCAGACCAGCCTGACCAACGTGGTGAAACTCCGTTTTTACTAAAAATACAAAAATTAGTCTGGCGTGGTGTCACAGACCTGTAATCCCAGCTACCTGGGAGACTGAGGCAGTAGAATTGCTTGAACCCTGGAGGCGAGGTTGCGGTAAGCTGAGATTGCACCACTGCGCTCCAGCCTGGGCAAAAAGAGTGAAACTCCGTTTCAAAAAAAAAAAAGCAAAAGCTATCTGGGATCAATCAAACTATCCAGTCTCCTCATATTTGTCTTTTATTTGCTGCCTCCCCAGGACCAAGATTAGTGCCTGACAAATAGTAGATGCTTGGTAAATATTCTTTTTTTTGTAGATAGCGTCTCCCTGTATTGCTCAGGCAGGAATGCAGTGGCATGATCACAGATCACTGCACCCTCAACCTTTTGGCCTCAAGCCATCCTCCCACCTCAGCCTCCAAAGTAGCTGGGAACACAGGCACACACCACCACACTTGGCTAATTATTATTATTATTATTTTTTTTTTTTTTGTAGAGACAAAGTCTCCCTATATTGCCCAGGCTGGTCTTGAACTCCTGGGCTCAAGTGATCCTCCCACCTTGGCCTCCCAAAGTGTTGGGATTATAGGCGTGAACTACCACGCATGACAGCGGATATTCTTGAATGAATACATTTTTTTTAGGTACACAGTCTTGCTCAGATGCCCAGGCTGGAGTGCAGTGGCGTGATCATGGCTCATTGCAGCTTCAACTTCTGGGGCTCAAGCAATCCTCCCACCTGAGCCTCTCAAGTAGCTGGGACCACATATGCATCACATCTGGCTAATTATGTTTATTTATTGTAGAGAGAGGGTCTTGTTATGTTGGCCAGGTTGGTCTCAAACTCCTGGGCTCAAGTGATCCTCCCACCTCAGACTCGAAAATTGCTGGGATTACAGGCATGAGTCATTATACCTGGTCTGAATGAATTTTATATAGCTGAGGAAAACTGAGGCCCAGAGAAGTTAACAGGCTTGCCCATGTTCATAGAGTCAGCTGGTAAGCAGATCTTTTTTTTTTTTTTTTTTTTGGGGGGAAGTTTCGCCCTTTTTCCCCCGGGTAGAGGGCATTTAAGCAATTCTCCTTTCTCAGCCTCTTGAGGAGCTGGATTACAGTTGCATGCCACCATGCCTGGCTAATTTTTGCAATTTTAGCAGAGGCTGGCTTTCACCATGTTGGCCAGGCTGGTCTCGAACGCCTGACATCAGGTGATCTACCTGCCTCGGCCTCCCAAAGTGCTAGGATTACAGGCCTGAGCCACTGTGCAAGGCCAGTTATGCAGGTCTTTCAGGCTCCTAACTTTGCCAAAATGCCTGCCAGTTGCTCCTTATGACTGGCTAAAATACCCTTGCCATGCACCTTGGGTTCCCAAGTACTGGATATATCAACATTCCCAAACAAGAGGAAAATTCTCTAGGAATACCGAGGAACCATTCCTGGGCTGCTGGGATGCATAGAACCATGGTAGGTTTGTGAGAAGAATCAGTATTTTTTTTTTTTTTTTTTTTTGAGACGGAGTTTCACTCATGTTACCCAGGCTGGAGTGCAATGGCGCGATCTCGGCTCACCGCAACCTCCGCCTCCCGGGTTCAGGCAATTCTCCTGCCTCAGCCTCCTGAGTAGCTGGGATTACAGGCATGCACCACCATGCCCAGCTAATTTTTTGTATTTTTAGTAGAGACGGGGTTTCACCATGTTGACCAGGATGGTCTTGATCTCTTGACCTCGTGATCCACCCGCCTCGGCCTCCCAAAGTGCTGGGATTACAGGCTTGAGCCACCGCGCCCGGCCTAGAATCAGTATTTTTGTAGGAACTGGAAGGAAGATTTATCCTGCCTGGTGACATCCTTTCTGACTTCCTCCCTTTGGAATACTGACTCTGTTGTTGAAGGCCTGGGAGGATTCGGGCTCAGCTTTTGAAATCTTCCCTACCACCCCTCTATGGTCCAAGCCGCATCTGCTTTATTATCTTAGCCAGCACTTCTTCAAGGCCTCAGCTTCAATTTCACTTCCTCCTGATTGCTGGCCTCCCCATTCTCCTTTAGGAACCAGAAATCCACTACGAAACTCTCACTTCACTGTGGGGAAATGACTGGTTTTCCTGCCTGTCTCTCAGTGGGTTCAGCAACTTGAGGGCTGGAATGCTCCCCTATATATAGCCTGGTCTAAGAACGAATGGTCTCACTTGCCATGTTGCCTGTCTGGATAGATTTAAACTCCTGGCCTCAAGCAAATCTTTTGTCCTAGCTTCCGAAGTATTTAGAACTACACGTGCATGCTAATGTGCCCAGTAAGGCTTTCTTTTGAAGAACAAATTACTCTGTTCCATGTTTTTTTTTTTTTTTTTTTTTTTTTTTTTCTTTGTAGAGAGAGAGGGTCTTGCTCTATCATCCAGGTTGGAGTGCAGTGGCACAGTCATGGCTCACTGCAGCCTCAACCTCCCAGGCTGAACTAATCCTCCTACCTCAGCCTCCTGAATAGCTAGAACCACAGGCACGTGCCAACACACTCCCAGCTAATTTTTTCTTTTTTTTTTTTGAAAATGGAGAGCCAGGCACGGTGGCTCACGCCTGTAATCCCAG